AGAAAATCAGTAATTGCAAAAAGTTATATTTCATCTATGGGCGCACGAAGCAAACAAACTTACTGATCAACAACACTAATGTAAAGGCCCGAGCTCGATGTATGCATACTTATTGGTTGACACAGCTTGTTGATTCGTACACAAGCAAGATCCCCGAGCTTCGCAGCGTCGAAATTCCCAGCACTGGCTCGTCCACTTACCTCGATTGGAACGCTAACAGGAAGGCTCAAGTACAAAAATACAACAAGCATGTGTTAAGACAAGCTATACGTCTCGGGCTTGCGTTAAAGCTTCGAGGTCTGGCTATTTAGGTTAGTTTAGAGACCACAAATGACGCTCTCGGGACCAGAAAACAATCTCTTGTCGACGTGTCGCTCGAAACCGAAACCATGCCACCCTCCTCCCTGGCCAACTAGTTCCCAGAGTGCAACGCGCGCCGTGTTGCATGCAGGGCTTTATGGAAGTAGTCTATTGAAGCACCTTATCGGCCTCCTCGCCTCAAAGGGTTTCTTCTTTTGCCGACTGTCTGACCCGTTGCCCCGGGAGGTCGTGGAGATATTCTCCTCCTTCCTCCTCTCGCGTCTCTGGTCTTTTCCAGCCCCCTTTCTTCCGCTCATCCCCCCTTTCCTTCTCAAAAGCTCTCCTCATTCCCTCTTTTCCGCCTCTACGGGAATTGTACTCATCCGCAAGGTCTGCGGCTCGATAAACAGAGTCTACTCCTGACTTATCTTGAATCCAGGTTCGCATGCTTTCCGGGAGAGTCTTATAGAACTGTTCGAGCGCGACCGTCTTTAGTACTTTCTCTTTGTCGTCATACGACTCGGCGACCCTCATCCACTCGACAAGGCACGACCGAAGTTCGTATGCGAACTCCGCATAACTGGCCTCCGACTTTTTGGTCACGCCCCTGAACTTCTGTCTGAACGCTTCTGCCGACAACCGGTACTTCTTGAGCAGGCAGCTCTTCACGCGCTCGTAGTGTTGATAATCTCGCGATTACCCCGGCTGCCTCGCATGGCAGAACACTCAGCAACCTTCTGGCCAAAGATACCCGATTAAAACGGGCCCTCTCGCAAGCTCTCTCGAAGTTAACCAGGTAGAGAGAGGCCCATGCCCTGTCCCACCTTGAAAGCCTGAATAAGCTTCGTCATGTCATAGAGACTTCAGGTGCCCTCTACCTCCGTTTCCCGTCCTCCGCTCGTTTTCCTTAGCTGCACCTCGAGACGAAGTTTTTCTTGTTCTAATTCCTTAAATTTTGCTTCGTCTCCTTTTTTGTTTTTGATTTTTTCCCACATCTCTTCGATTTCCTCGATGTCAAGATTTTCGTCCTGGATAGCCTTAACAAGCTCCGTTTTTTTCATCGATGTGTTCGCATCTACCCCGAGCTCCTCACACAAATCGAGCAACTGACACTTTAGCAAACGCTGCAGAACCATGTCTGTGACCTATCTGGGTGGCAAAACTCTGCACTACCGACAAACAACAACCTTAAAATTGCCTTTTCGGTAGTTCCTTACGCCCCTGCAAAATACACCTCGATCTTGCAGGCCTGCCGACAGAGAAAAGATGCTGTCACTCACCAGACTCGGCTCACGGCCCATGAGATCCGTTGTTGCTGACGCTCAATGGTCATAGCTGTCGATCCCACCGTCCGCTATCCAGTTGTAAAGACTCGGGGCTTGTTCATATAGTCGATCTCCGCTGGAGCCATGCGTCGCCCAGGACATCGGGCGGAGTTGGTAGCGAGCCAGGGTGTCTCTTCTCAAACTGTTTATTTACATACCATCTACAGTCTGCCGTTCGGCATGAGAACAACGTGAGAACACACAGAGAGCGCTTAAAATCGCTCTTTTTATAAGGTCCCCCTTCGCTACGTCCCTAGACCAGGACGCCGTTCCCCAACTGGTCAGGCACCGTCCACTCGCACGCACAAGCACACACAGAGGATAAGTACTCTTCCGGTTCTTCAAGGCCTGTAGTGGCAGCCGTTTCTTCAGTGACGCTTGAGATTTGGCCTTGCTCCTGGATTCTAGGTCGAGGTGACACCGAGAAACTCATCCCCAAACGTCCGGGCACCGCCTATGAGCACGCCCAAACGGACACACAGGTTAATCGTTTTGTTGACTCTAAGAGAGCACGAACGCCCGGAGCATACCGTCGCCCTCTTTAGTCGGGACGGAGAAGACCTTGGACGCCGATATCCGGGCAGTTCCCGTTCACGGCTTATCTCCCTCTTTCGGCTTAGCAGGGATCACCGTGGCCGTTGGTTCCTGTTTGGACGCCTCGAGGAAAACTCATTTCCGTTTCAGCACCTAACTTGAGCCGGTTTCGACGACGGCTTGTCTTGCTCTTTTGTCGACGGTACCCGGGCAGCGGGGAAAATAATCCCGGCTTGAGATTGTCAGCGGAAGTCGCGTCCTCGGGAATGTTGGAAAAGGAGTGGCGTTCCGCGTCCAGGTGCGGCCGCGAAGGTCGTTCGTTACACCTCGCAGGGACACATACGTGTGTAACGAAAACCGCGGCCCTCTCCACGAAGCTTATGCGGACATTCTTGATAAATAGCGTTGACTTGAGGTTGAACCTTGCATTTGCTTTGGAACTACTGAAAATGCCTCCCGCATGGGAGCGAAACATCTAAAGAAATTCTTTTTTTCTATTGTGTCAAGTCACTGCTCTTATTTTAATTATGACGTCTCCCGGATTTTGGAGTATTTTTGCTATGGTCAGCGCCACCGAGGTAACGAGGCGTCTAATGCATAGAGAAATGCGCGAACCCAGCGTCTGAAGCCAGTAACCGTAGACGCCATCTTCCGAGTGTTCTCTGCTGACGTCAATGTGTCAACGGTAGCCAAAGTCGGGCGCGCCACTGTGGAGGTCGACGCTGAGAGCGGAATGCGTTCGCCTGGCGAACCCTTGGTGGTTTCGACGAGGCTTGGTGTACGCTCGGACATGACATTATATTAATGTTACGCCAAGAGAAGCGAGGGGGGAGTTCGCGCAGCGCGGTCGAGTTGAGCTTAGCTTGGAACCGAAGCTAGCGTTGCCGTCTCGATAGCAGACGGCATTCGGAAAATGACGCGTTTGTGACTGGCTTTAGACGCCGCATTTATCTATACACCGAGCAAACTACGCAGAGCAAGTGTTTCAAAATGCCTATCTGGAGCACCGAAACGCAATCGGGGCACGTTAATGAAAGAGTAACATCGAAAACGAGCTGGGAGCGAGCGATGATGAAGCAGTCATTCGTGCGCCGTTATTAGTTGAGGTCGGGGGAACACAAAACCGCGTATGCTCGTTCGCGGGGTAAAGGGCCACCCACACTAGCGAGAAAACGCGCGTGGCACGCCGATCGCGGGAAGTAACAACAAGTCGCCGCAGCAGAGTCAGCGCCACGAGCGCGTGCAGAGACGCGCCCTTTATCTTCCCGCTCAACCGATTTTGCGGAACGCATTTTCAACGCGATCGGCGCGCCGCGCGCGTTTTCTCGATAGTGTGGGCGACCCTTAAATTTAGTGTGCGGAAGGAGACTGTGGTGTGGTAACATCAAGTGCGTACTTCGGCTTTTCCGCCGTGCTTTTCATTGGGCGGAACGTGAATAAGAGAAAGTTCAAAATAAAGACTTAAAGTGGGTGGCTGATTTTTTCTGGTACCTTATATTTTGACGAACCTTAAACGAAAAGCATGAGTTTTTGGCCCTCCGACGGTTGGTTTCGTTCCCCGGAACACGAGGCTGAAGTTTCTAACTGCTAAACTTCTTATATCAGTGTTTGTTTGTGAGCGTTTTCTAAATCTCTCTATCTCCTTTCCGTTCAAAAATGTTCTTCTCATCTTTCCAATATTTTTGTGATTCTCTTCTCCTTCACGAGGCAGTAAACTAGCACTCCGACGCATGTTAATATCCTTCGTTTTTATATTCCATTTTGGAAGGATCGGAAATCTGAGGATGTACGCGAGAAGCACAATGATTTGTGCCAATATTTCTGGTTTTTGTCTTGCGGTATATGTTTCTGAAATCTCCAATTTATTATGGTATAAGCAAATATGATATTAGTTTTCAAAATTTGAGTATTCTGACACTAAACTAGGGCACTGCTCTGGCCCGGGCCAGCCCAAAGGCCCGAGACCGGCCCGGCCTGTGGGCAGTGCTCAGGCCGGGTAGTACGCATTTTCTCGAACCCGGGCCGAGTACGGGTTTGAACAAAATATTTTTTCTGGCCGTGCCTGAGCGGTTCTGTGCCACAATTTCGAAGTAGGTGATAACAAAAAGTATGATCCTTGATCTTTTAGCTTAAATGTAAGCAAGCAAGCCAAGTGCAAAATTACTACGGCGCCGTACAAAAAAAAAAAAAAAAAAAAAAAAAAAGTCTTGCATTTGGGAAGTTTTTAGGTGTGTAAAAGAAAACGCATGCACTCCACCAGCATGTGGGAGAGTGCGCGCTTTATGCTTAGATAGTTTTTATGTTAAAGCCTGCAAACTTTTTCGGGCTGATGTTTATAATCTGTCAAACTCGGGCCCGGCTCAGGCTCATATTTAAATAAAAGAAAACTGCCGTGCTCCGGCCCGGGCCGTGGTTCTACCGGCCTGGGACGGGCCGGGTTTAGAAATTCAATATTCTGTCGGGCTCGGGCTGGGCCCGGGCAGTGTATCTAGCGGGCTGGGTCGGGCCGGGCCTAAGAATTCCGGCCCGTGCAGTGCTCTACACTAAACTGCCAAACAAGTACCAGATTCAGGTTTCACTACTTCGTATTTCGGTTGCCGCCTATAGCTCCTTCGGGACAGTGTGCCCTAAGAAATGGCAGATATAGGCCCGACATCTGGCTGTTCTCTTTTCACCCTTAAACTTTGAGCCTACATTCTTATACAAATGCCTGAATTAGGCTTCGCTGCGGCTTCTCCGGTTGATACGCGGCATCTATGGCTCATCTATGGCACTTTGGTGATTATGGGGCGAATCGGGGAAGAGCCTTGGGAAAGGCTAAGAAAAGTACTTTGGCAGTAAATGACGCCTAGGAGCAGTTAGGCCCATAGTACTCCACAACTAGGGCCCTATTAGGTGGAGCCCTTGTTTAAAAAGTGACCCGCTCATTTGCTTTCGTTCCTTATATAGCATTTTATTTTGCAGGGACACTGCCGAACAAGACTATTTTATGTACCTTTGGGAGTGGCTGGAGGCGGACTGTAGCGCCGCCCAAGGAAGGCCTCTGCGACATCATTTTCTGGGACTTCTTCTACAAATCTGCGAGGGGCTCCTTTCTTGACCGCAGCTCCGTCGGGCTGCAGTGGTTTCTGGAATTTGCCCGGAACGACAGCGGAACCACCCAATTCGGAATAGGAATTAACTACGGGTATTATTCTATTTCGACGCGGATACCAGGGCATTCGTGGGTGCAGGTTTCTAGCCCGCATGGTTTATTATGTTGTTTCTAAAAAGAATGAAAATCAGTGTTAGTCCACGTAGAGACGATGAGTGGTGAATGTCTCGTTGTCAATGGAATAGCACATCAAAGGACCAAGAAACTATTTTTAAATGTGAAACGTTCTTTGGATATGTTTTTCGTGTTTCGTGCATGAAGCCGCATTTCAAGAAGCCGTAACCTGTAACATCCCATAATGCAACACGCCCAGTGTTTCTTTATGGGTCATCACAAACCTACACACCAATTCAGTTTCTTGTTTCTAGAAAAGCTGGTGTTAAAAATGTTTAAAGACTCAGCTTTCTTTCTTTAAATCAAGGATTAAACTAGTACAAGGACAACGAAGAAATTCCGTGGGCGTTAACTTTCTCCCCTGACACCCTTATAAAGCTTTCATGTTTCACCGGCTTGTGACATGATCCGGCGCTTAGAGGAGTATTCACACGAGAGGTAAATCCCGAGGGTTCCTCCTCGGCATACGCATCACGGTACAAAAGCGCCCGGCTCTTGCGATACGGCGTGTTAACGCTAGCTCCGCGGCGGAGGAAGAAAATTATACTTTGAGAGTGCAACCAATTTCGGTTTGGAAGCGGATAAGTTTGTTTTTCATGACAGTTGGTCGTTAAATGCTTTGATGTAAAGTGCGGAAAACGCTAATCCTTCTGCTGTGGTGTAAAGGCTGGAAACCGCTGAACTTGTCTGACAAGTGCTCACATCCCTCCCACCGTGCGCCACCTGTCGGCGTGAAAAACGTTTATCAGACGCTTCCGAACCGTTTAAGTATGGTGCCTGGAACGCGTCTCCGACTGGTGTGTTTACCGCGGCCAAAAAAGTGGTCCCTCGATTTCCGCCTGATGACGTCATAAAAGTGTCATGTTGTTGCCGGTCGCGACCCTGGCGGCGTCCCAACAGTTGTGGTAAAGATGGCAGACGACTGTTCCGCTGCAGGTCGCTTTCCATTGTGACAGTTCACGGAAGCTAGGGCAGCCGGAAGTTGGGACGCCTAAAGCGACGACGTGACGACAGCGACACTCGCGTTCGCTCGTTCTTTTTGCCAGCATTTCTACGGTCAACCGCCAGGATCGCGACAGGCAACAGCATGACACTCGCGTCATTTGTTGCCACATTGGGACCACTTTTGATGTATGGGCGGAATAGGGCGCTAAACACACCAGTCAAAGACGCGATCGAGGCACCATAGTTTAAGGTCAAAAGTATCACTATTGGGGTTGTCCACTGCTTTTCAAGCTCATAAACGGAATACTCGCGTCGCGTACAAATAATGCACGAGCACGTTTTGTAGTGACAAATAAATTTGTAAATTTCAGTTATAATCTGGTCTTTGAGCCCCAACAGCCTTTCTTAGTGACAAAAAAAGCGCAAGAATATTAACGAAATGCAGATGTATTTTACTTGAAGGTCTTATACCGGATGTTTCAGCGCAGGTTTTACAAAATCCCTGAAAATAGAGTACTTGAGCAAAAAATAAACCCTTTCCCGAAAGAGTCTGCCAGCCAGGGCAGACGTCAAAGACTGCCCAGAAAAGACTAATTAACTAGACAGGTTATAATTAAATTTTCAATCAGAAAAAATAAACTTGTAGCTTTAAATAGGAACTTGCCAAGCATCATCGAACGCCACTAAATTAATTAATTTTAGAAAGAAAAGGGCAAGATTTGATAGCCTTCCGACAACGAAAAGAAAAAAAATCGCTTTGGACGCGCTTCTAGGTTCCCATTTCTTAGCGGAGCGGAACTTTGCGCCTGCCATCCTGCTCTTTGATGGCCACGGCGCGAAGCCACCGCCTCGCCTCACTCGTAAGATGGAGGGAAGTACGGCGCATGCGCGTTGCATGTCTCGGCGACTGGGGATCAGGACCTTGGGCACAACGATACCGTCCAACAGAACAACCCAAACCTAAACATGGGTCCAAACTGAGCTTTCTTTCTTTCTTTTTGGAACACTGTAAAATGCTGCATCATCCTTAATACATGTTTATAAAAATGAGGTGATTTAGTGGTTATCTATGATGCTCATCGAGATTCTTTTCGAAACCGTATTTATTTTCAGTAATTAATGTATATTAGTATATTTTAGGTAATTACTTTGGTGATTAGTATTTTTTGCATTCCTTGACGTCCATTCGGAAATAGCTTCATTTGTTTCTTTTCAGCCACCCTTTTATACGGGATTTTTGAAACCCTTCGCTGAAACACCCGGTATGTGTGAGGGGTTTGGTTTCGTTAGATAAATTGTAAACGAGTGCATGAGTTGCTTCGTTTGAGGTTGGTTCTGCGGATATAATGCAAAGAATTACCGCCCTAGTTAAGCGGCGGTATATTTTCAGATAATTTTTACCCGCATATTTTGTTAACTGAAAATGGTGTTCTTTAAGTGGAAACTCAATGGAGTACTGTTGAACTAGAGTTCATACATATATGTCATTTCTCCCAGCAATGCCCTTGGAGCATACGACGACCTCAACAAAGCACTTGGTATGAACACATTTAGAGATTTATGGAACATGAACATCCGGCACTACGGACTGCTTAAGTTCCAAGTGCACGACTATTTCGTAACCCAAAGAAGTACCGTCCAAGACTACGATAAACTTTTGAAGGTAACGCACAACCTGCCTCCTTTGGGAAAAACGCCGTACAATAGGTTACTCTTATTCGGATCTGAAATATACAAAACATTAACAAGGCAATATAAATACGTGATTTTTGTTAAGGTTACCAAGACCAATGCTAGCTTCTAGCTGCTGAGAATGATTCAGAAAAGAAACCTTATCATGAAGTCAGATATGCTTTCACCGTGAAAATGTGTCATGCTAGTCGAGAATCACAATAGCGCATTCTGAAAATGCGCAGTGCCTCTCATAACCTTTTCGACACAACAGAGTAGTCCTATGTACGACGCTTGAAGGGATACAGTCGTAAATAAACGGAGCGATTTATGTTTGTTTAGTATTTTGCGATTTCAGAACGCCAAATATGCGGTTCGATAACAGAAGCTACTTAACGTCTTTGGGGTCTGCTTGCTTTGTTTTCTTTGTATCCTGAACTCGCTGTGATCGGAAATAAGGAAATGAGCCAATTCCACTATGTACGGAGCCTGTGAGCTTACCCGAGAGTACATCGGAACGGCCGAACCTTTCCCACTGCCATGCGCTCCAATGTGCGGTTGCCGAGATGCTTTTTGGGATTTTCGGGAAACGTCTGGTGGCAACAGGCGCCCAGCAAAAGCGTTCCCGTTCTCCCTTTCCGATAATAGCCCGACGCTCACTATACGTGTACAATAAAAAAAAAAATTGGCTTTCATTTTGACGCACGCCATCAACTTTTCGTTCTGAAGCGGTCGTGACGTCACTGGTAGGAATCTTCAGAGGATGCCACCGAAACATCTCCTAACCAAGGAGGGAGGATGCTCCCGTTCTAATTTGACCGCATTCAATGCGTTTCTTCACACGCATTGGCTCCACCCCTAAGTTAAGGAAAACCTAATTTAGGCTACCTTCAGAGGTAATGAATCGTTCGGTGTCTCAGAAGCATTATTCATCAGGTTTTGGTCGTTGCCGGTGTGGTATGTGAAAAACGGAAAAAAATGCTGTCAACTCGTTGTTTATATCGCAGCGCGCGTCCCGTGCTTTACGTAGTAGTCGTTTAAAACTACGTAATGTTTCGGGGTTGGAGCGGTCAAGTGTGATTTAAAACGCCTATAGGTTACTGTCAAATGCGAGCACTTTTTCCGTCTGCCACTCTTAGAAAAGAAAAAAAGGAAAATCTCACTGAGCCGTCTGTGCTTGCTTTTATTTCGCTATAACCACCTCAATGCAAGTTGTGACAGAGGTAACTGCAACCCCCACCCCCCCTCCAAACTGAACACCAACAACCTGTTAGCTCATTGCAAAGGTTACTAATACTATCACGATCAGTATGAGTGCGAACACCGCTCTGCGTCACCTGCGGTACATTCAATGACCCCTCGCCATTCTGCCGTGAAGTATAAGTTAAAGGGGCGGTGCAACAATTTGCGAACTTTGGCTAATTAATTGCGGGAATTGATCCCGGCCACACATAACACGAAGGACCGAAAACTATTCTTTCCTGCTTTCCCTAGTTTTCAATAAAAAAAATAAAAGAAATTGGTATCTCTGGCACCCCTCAACTCAACATTGAAGCGGCACCAGCTTCACCTGTGACGTCATTCGGAGTGGCGTTGGTTTCCGGTTGGGTGCTTCTGGCTTCCGTTTCCCCCGCGCTCGCCGGCTCGCCAGGCTCGCCGCTCTCCCGCCGATTCCCGACCAACATGGCGGCATGGGCGGACGGCCTGAGCGACGTCGAGCGCAAGATGCTTGCGACGCGGCGGGCAGTCGAAGTCGAGGTCGAGACACCAGGAACAATAACGATACCACGATACTACGGGCCACGACCAACGCACTCCGTCGAGCGAGGGAAAGACAAAACGTCCGGGTTGCTCGTGTAGCCGCCGTAGGCGCCTCGGGCGTCGACGGATGACGGCGACGGCAGGTTTGGTTGACTTGTGGTAGATGGCGCCACAAATCTTTTAGAGCCAATATTAGGCTTTTGAAGCGTTTCTGCATGCCTAAACAACAAGATTTTTTAAACTTAACCTTGAATCAAGCTTACAAGTGCCTAACACTGTCACAAAAAAACACTCCGAATGACGTCACACCACAGGTTCCATTTGCGGACTCCATGTGGCCGCAGGTTGGGAAAAAAAGCGTTTTTTAATTTGCGATTACGCAGCGAAATAGAGGTATTTTGGGGTATGGTGGCACTTTTTCTCTTACTTATGCCGAAGTAAACAATATAAAAAATACAAGCTGCACATTCGTTCAGTGTTAAAATCATTGCACTGCCCCTTTAAAGCACTTTGCGGACGAGATATATGGTCTCCAGCGATCGTTGCACCACTCTGTCTCTCCGGATCATCTGCTAGCAAAGAACGGTGGTCCGAACTGCGAAACTATTTCCCAATGAACAAGAGCATTTTTCGCTAGGAATGTACGCTAGCAAACAGCGCTTAGTGGAGGTTTCGGAACAATCTACATAGAAACTGCCTAATATTTATTTCATCTGATATTTTGCGAGAGCGAAGGATCGCAAGATCCGCTATCGCAAGAAGTTAGTCGCGGTGCAAGCGTAGCAAGTGTATTCAGCTCCATAGAATCTTAAAAGCTACATGAAGCAGCATTAATCAATCCCAAACTTTACCGCAGTGGGTTCGGTGTCGCTCCGAGTTATTATTATGCGATAACCACGAACCACCTTGCAGCTTGAACGAATATTACAAATGTTGTCCCCGCCAGGCACGCATGAAATGCCGTGTGTGTACGACAAATCGACACCGTTAGTGATGACGTCACAACATGGCGCTCAGCTTCAAACAAACCGTTGCTATGGTTGCTGGAAGCAGAAGTGTGCCGGGAGAGAGCGAAGGGCTGCAGAGTTGCGATGAAAAAGACTCGTCTGCTCTTTTCGTCTGCAGACTGCAGCGATTCTCGCGGTGTCGAAGATTTGCATCGTGACACACGCGCTGCCCGCAGCGCGTTTGTTGAAAGGTAACATAGCTTCTTTACATTATCACGGATGCAAAAGAGCTCGACAAATGTAAACTGAAAATGAAGGTTTAATCGGCGAACCTGTGTCCAACAAAATAAAAAAAAGAAGCGTCGAGACAGCAGAAAAGCGCGTGCCGATTTGGCGGCGTTATAGCAAGCGGGAGCGAGACTGACTCCGCAAGGTCACGGGCAGCTCCTTATCTACTCGTCGGCTTCACGAAAATTAGGCACAGAAGCTCCGAGCATCGAGTGTTCGGGGTGAAAATGCACAAGCACTTTCGACAGCAAGAAACTAGGATGAAAAGATAAAAGTTACGTCCCGAGAAAGCATAAACGCGAATCTTCTAGAATTCCGCGACCGAGCGTTGTTTTTTCGGCTCTGCGCGCGCTATATCCCCCACCCCAGCACTTTAAAAGTGCATCGTCCCCATGCAACTCGAAAGTAACGCAAAACTGGCTAAAGAAACTAATAGGAAGAGACAAAATAACACACAGCGTCACAATGCTAAAGCGCATAGAACGGTTTGAGTCGAACTACGTGGACCACTTCTGATCGTGGCTTGCGGAGTCCTGGTGATCGGGTTCCGCAGGGGAGCAACTCGTAGTTTAAGTCCCCAAGGCGGCGAATGACCTTGTAGGGTCCAAAGTAGCGTTTCAACAGTTTCTCGCTGAGACCGCGGCGGCGAATGGGCGTTCACACCCCACCCCGCCTCCGGACTCGAACTCCACGTCGTGGCGACGAAGGTATATTGGCCAACGTCGACACATTATTGGTGCTTTATCTGAACGCGGGCTTGCGGGCGTACCTCTTCTGCCCGTTGGTTGACCATCTGGCCGTCGTCGGTGCCGTCGTCCGTCAGGTCGTGGGGCAGCATGGCGTCCAGCATCGCCGTCACCTTACTGCCATGCTCCAGATGAAATGGTGAAATCCCAGTGGTTTCTTGAACCGCTCTATTGCACGCAAACGTGACATAGTGCAACACCTTGGTGTTGCACTATGTCAGCCACGGTGGTGGCCTTTCAAGATCGCCACTACGTGCAGAGAAGCGGCGTGTACATAGGATCCCAAGTGGCCCCAGGTCTGTGTAAAGTTTTTCTCGGAGCGTGCGTGCGTGACATCCAAGAAACCATTAAAGATTCAAGAATTGCGGTGATATATAGGCATGTAGATGATTTCTTCATTTTATGGACTACAGAAATCGACGAATATATCGACGGGCGCCTCAACAACATCCTGAGGAGTTTTCAGCAGTCATGCATGAGGCTCACTTTCACGCATGAGCTTCCAGTCAGGAAGACCATAAAGTTTCTTGATTTGGTTTTGGAGTTCAGAGCAGATCATGTTTGCTTGAGATACCAAGCCCGTTCAGGCAAAGGGTTTCTCCCCTTCTCGTCGCAACAATAAAAAACTGTTAAGCAGGCAGTAGCTGTCACAGCCCTGTTTTCTAGCCAGAAGAAATCTTGTGAGCATCAGATCTCCCGAAGCTTTGAGTTGCAAATATCCAGACTCGAAGACGCGGGCTACCCACGACATGTAATTGCCTCCGTGTGCGAAAGAATTTGCAGCGCCATCAAGACGACTTGCGGACGCAACAACCCTTCCACACAGCAAAAGAAGAAAAGAAGACCGTTTGTGGTTGTCCCTTATATTCATGGGACTACACATAGGTTAAAAAAGATGACAAATCGGCACGAGGTACAAGTGCTGTGTTCGGCGCCCAATAAGGCCTATTCGTTGTGCCGCAAGGTCAATCAGGGGCAAACCAGCAACAGCAAGGGGTGTGGCGTCAATCACAGGACCGTTTATGACTAGTGCGACAAGGAGGTTATATACCACATACCCCCGACATGCGCCCGCTGTTACATCGGCCAGACCGGGCGGTGTATAAGTGATAGGACTCGGGAACATGCCAATAGTGTGAAGAACTTGACGGCAGAAAGTCACTTAGCCCTACATTGCCGTGATTGCAAGTGCAAGGCGAACCTAGACAAAAGTTACCATCACCTACAAAGGCACCATCGAAACCGGTGGG